ATATATATAACCTTAAATGTCCTTGAATCTGTTTTGTCCCTCCAGAAATAAAAATAAAAGGCACATATATGCCTGTGAAAGTGTCTACTTATTTTGAAGAATGTAATACGGAACCAGTAATTATGGTGTGGAGTTTTGCAATTAAATCCTGCAATTAAAATTAATAATTTGTACATCATTACTTTAAATTTTATTTTCAACATTGGTTAAAGATTAAGTTCAATTTTACATAATCTATGAAGTTAATAGAAAAGCTTGATTTTATAAAATCTTATAATTTGTCCTCCATTGCATATACATGTATTGTAAATTTGTTTCCGCTACACATTTGTCATTTTGTAGTTTTATAGTGTAATAAATTATATTAAGTTCAAACTTCAACAAAAGTGTTTATCATCATATACACTGGAATGCTGACAACAGTAAACATTGAACTGTAATTAAAAAATATATGAAAAGGAAATTTCTATCAAAGTATAACTGTTTGTCGTGATCAGTTTTTAGCTCACCTGGCACAAAGTGCCAAGTGAGCTTATGCCGTGGTGCGGTGTCCGTCTTCCGTCTGTCCGGCGTCAATATTTTACTTTAAACGACTTCTTCTTAATAACCAAAAGGCCTAGGGTGATGATATTTGGCCAGAAGCAAACTGGGATGAAGGGCTACAAAGTTTGTTAAAATTAATGACCTTCAGCCATTTTCAAGGTCACAGGGGTCAAATATGTGAAAAACTATAAACATCTTCTTCTCGATAACCAAACTGCCCAGGGAGATGATATTTGGCCAGAAGCATGCTTGGGTGAAGGGCTACCAAGTTTGTTCAAATAAATGACCTTCATCCATATTCAATGTCACAGGGGTCAATTGTCTTAAAAAAACCTTTAAACAACTTCTTCTGAATAACCAAAATGCCCAGGGTGATGATATTTTGCCAGTAGCATGCTGACATGAAGGGCTACAAAGTTTGTTCAAATGAATGACCTTCACCCATATTCAAGGTCACAGGGGTCAAATATGTTAAAAACTTTAAACAACTTCTTCTCAATAACCAAAATGCCCAGGGTGATGATATTTGGCCAGTAGCATGCTGAGATGAAGGGCTACAAAGTTTGTTCAAATGAATGACCTTCACCCATATTCAATGTCACAGGGGTCAAATATGTTTAAAACTTATAACAACTTCTACTGAATAACCAAAATGCCCAGTGTGATGATATTTGGCCAGTAGCATGCTGAGATGAAGGGCTACAAAGTTTGTTAAAATGAATGACCTTCACCTATATTCAAGGTCACAGGGGTCAAATATGTTAAAAACATTAAACAACTTCTTCTGAATAACCAAAATGCACAGGATGATGATATTTGACCAGTAGCATGCTTGGGTAAAAGGCTATCAAGTTTGTTCAAATGAATGACCTTCACCTATATTCAAGGTCACAGGGGTCAAATATGTTAAAAACATTAAACATCTTCTTCTGAATAACCAAAATGCACAGGATGATGATATTTGACCAGTAGCATGCTTGGGAAAAAGGCTATCAAGTTTGTTCAAATGAATGACCTTCACCTATATTCAAGGTCACAGGGGTCAAATATGTTAAAAACTTTAAACAACTTCTGAATAACAAAAAATGCCCAGGGTGATGATATTTAGTCCGGAGCATACTAGGATCAATGGCTACCAAGTTTGTTTAAATGTATGACTTTGAATCATATTCAAGGTCACAAGGGGCAAATATGGGCAAAAAATAAAAAAAAAAAAAAACTTGTTCTGAATAACCAAAAGGCTTAGGATGTTGATATTTAGTCAGAAGCATGCTGGGATCAAGGACTACTATGTTTGTTAAAGTGAATGACTTTGACTTATATTCAAGGTCACAGGGGTCAAATTTGTTTAAAATCTTTAATTGACCTCTTCTGAATAACCATGGGTCCCAGGATGTTGATACTTTGCAAGTTGCATCCTGAGATGAAAGGCTTTAAAATTTGTTCAACATAATGACTTTGTTCGACTTTCAGTCACAGGGGTGAAATGTTTAAAAAAAAAAATAACAGGTTCTTTGAATGAATTTTAATCATAAATACTGATATTTTATTTTGCCTGTAGCTTTATTTTAGATCACTTTTAAGGTTACAAGTGTGAGATATATACCAGGTGAGCGATGCAGGCCCATTGGGCCTCTTGTTTTACAAAGGTTTCACAGCAGAAAATGCACAGTAAATATGTGCATGTATAGTTAACATCCAATGTATTTTGCAATTTGCATACAAGACAAATTTATTTTTATGTATGTATGGTTGTGAACATCACAGACATCATGATACATGTACGGCGCTGCACAGATGACATGCCTGACGGCAATATATACGACACGTGTTACGTAATTATAGAATATCTCTCAAATATCAGATAATATCTTAGTACTTCAGCACTTTTAAAAGTTTGAATGTGGAATACATATGATTATAAAAAGCAAAATATTTAATTTAAACATTGTCATTGAGGTAAACATTCTATGGTAAATGGCATTAAGCTTATTTGCACTATTCTTTTCCGGAAGATATGTGGTGGAGATTGTTATTAAGTGTTACAGTCAATCCTTGGCTGAGAAAACTGAGAAAACATTGAGGAGCAGAGAGTCTATTTATACAGAGAGTCTATTTATACAGAGAGTCTATTTATACAGAGAGTCTATTTATACGTGTAGAGAGTCTGAGACTGTTGGCTAGACAGTCCATAGATTTACGGGAATGCTGGGTGAAGAAGAAGTTGTTTTGGCAACTACATATTGTTTTTTTCCCGAGTCAAGTAAATTCCAGCAAACAAAATAAGACTCTTCAAGTCATTTTACATTGTACTAATTAATACATTTGTAATACTACTAGGCCTGATTATCTCTGTATTATCAAAATTGACCGGTGGTCAGGGTAACTTCCTCAGGTGTCTGTTGTAGACAGTCCTATAATATCTCTGTATTATATATATATGGGCAAAAGCTGAAGCATTGAGGTCTTTTTTTCTTCTACTAGTAATAAATAATTAATCAAATGTAAGTTCAAATGCATTTTTCCAATAATAACTTTCCCCTTATTTTCAAGTTTTTGTTTTAATTTATGCTGGCATTACTTTTTGGAAATAGATATTGTATATGTCAGCAATATCGTAGTAAAAATTAGATAGAAGAAAAAAAAAGATTGAATGCTTAATTCAAACAACAGAGAATTGAAAGGAAACAAAACAAAGGTTGAATGCCTGTCCATACAATAACTTCAACAAGTGCACAGGTAGAGTTTAGAGCTGTGACAAGGGAAATTCCCTGACGTCTTTGTTAATGATAAATCTGTTACAAGAATTAAAAAGTGTGTTGCTCCTGTGAATGGAAATTTACTATGAATCAATGCAGAACGCAGACAGATTATTTTTAGATATCGAGCTTACAGACTATGCACTCTATGTATACCCTTGGCACATGCTGAAAGTACACGTGTTTAGTGACTACATGCATAGAACAGCATAGGTTACATGTTATGATTCATCACCTGAATTGTAAACATTACATTGTAATTATGAATGAAGGGAGACATATTGTATTAGTACTGGTTCTTCTTCTTCTGGTTCTTCTTATCGCAACTTGTCCAGCCATAAATTTTAAACCGTTAAAGATTTCTTGATGAAACGTGAGGTATGCATGCATCACCCACAGAATGTGTGCAGTGCACTGGAATTAGGTCACTGTGACCTTCACCTCAAGGTCAAAGGTCAAATAAGTGAAACATTTTCAGTAAATTCTTGTCTGGCCCGTAAATTTGAAACCGGTAAAAATATCTTGATCAAACTTGAAGTATACCTGCATTACCTATAGAAGGTGTGCAGTGCACTAGAATTAGGTCTCGTGCCCCAGTAAATATACAGAGTTATTGTCCTTTGTTTATATTTAATACCGAAGTTTGTCCGGAGCATAAGTTCCATGTTATTTCACCTACGTTGACAAAAATTACCATATCTATGTATCTTGGGAAGATGGAATCTCTCGTACTGAAAGCGGATCTTGTGCCCCACTACGTTTAGAGTTAAGGCCCTTTGTTTATTTTTAATACCAAAGTTTGTCCACGGCATAATTTCCATGTTATTTCACCTACGTTGATCAAACTTGCTATAGTTATGTATCTTGGGAAGTAGGAGTGTTGCATTCATATATAAAATCTTTAATTAAAAAAAAAAAATGTTTCTTTTTTATTAATCATAAAATAAATGAATGAGAAATTATAACTGGATTATTTGCCTTTTTATTTAGAGAAATTTTTGAGTTATATAAATTGTCTAATAGCCACTTATCCTCTTACATAACTTCCTGCAGGTATTTGTTATCAAAGCAGCTAGGGCAAAAAATGAACACAAATAGCATTTTGTGGAAAGTCATTTTTTAAAAGTCCTTCTGTATAAAAACAATTATAAATACATCAACTAGTTCAGAGATGTGCGGGAGGGTTTATTTGACCAAGTTTGTCATGTTATTAATTTTTTCAGGTCATGTTTTGATGTTTTTTTTCTTTTGAAAGTGCTTGACATCATTTAGGTTCTATAGTAAGTTATAATTTTGTTTTCATGGGCTTGAATAAAATTGTGTGAAAGATATTTCTACTGATATCTTGGATGAAGTATGTTTTGCGTCACATTTACTTCATCTGGTGTGTGTACATACGTATACAGTGTACAGGTAAAAACATTTCAAAGCGGTCATCCAATATTGAGTCAATGTTTACATTTCAAATGTTTAAATGGATTTTTTTTCTTTACAACAACAGCCTGAGGTTATTTTATTTTATGTAGATTTAACGATTGAACTAGTCACGACTTCAATTTGAATTATGATGGTGTGAAAATTGCTTATAATGTCTCCTATTCATATGTAAATAGAGTCTAGCTAGGTATACCTTGAGTGTCAGTCAGTGACGTGGGCCTAGTAGTAGACCAGCCGGATATTGCATGTATATAAATACCCATGCTCTACTGACAAGCTGCTCAGTTTGCCTATAGAGTTTTAACACAACTCTTCACTGTACCTTTATTACTTAGATCGTTAGTCCAGAAAAACAATATTTACAGACTGGTTTAAGTCGGGCAGGCCTACTGTCATTATAACATTTATAGTTAGAACCGACTTACTGTGAGGAAAAGAACTTTCTTACGGACAAGTGAAAACTTTCTTGTATAATTCAACATTTGATCAGAATGGCTGCTAGTCCAGATCAATTGCCAGTCATGTCCGAGGATAAAAGTGCTTCTTCATTAAAGGCCGAAGCGCTGTTGGACGCTGCTAAGAAAATGATGGCCCCTGAATACCAGGCTATTGTCCAACAACTTCTACAGGCCATGCCTGGACAGGAGGAAATGCTTGTAAGTCTCTCTTCATATAATCTGGATGTCTGTCCCATAATCATAAGCCTGGAAACCATTCATATATAGATATCATTGGTTATATACTTTGTAGGCTGTAATTTGTATTTTTGAGTTTTAGTATAACTCTGTACATGTTTACATACATATCTAAATATAAATTACAGTAACTTGATATCTTCCTGTTTTAATGTTTGTTACCTGGAAATTCCACTTTTAAAATGTTTTATCAAGTTAAATATCCTAAAGATAGTTTTACAGCTGGTCTTAACTGGTTTTTAAGTAGGTTAATATAATTGAGAGGATTTTTTAAATGCCTACAAAAAATATGCAAAGTAGCTAGCAAAATACAGATTAAAGTGTGGTATAATGTGTATGGGGAAAAGGTGTGTTGAAAATGTTGGCTAAGTTTGAACAGCAGAGAATTATATAACTGCGACTGGCTGCTTATAGTGAATGATATATAGAGATATTAGAAAATTATATCAAGTCATGAAACTGAGATAAATCCTGTTTACTTATTCAGAATGCTGCATTGTTACTTGTTATAAATTAGGATTCGTCCTAGTGGTGTGTTAAAGTTTTCTGTTTAATCATTTGAATATGACAAACATAATACATTTATACCACAAAGTCAAAAAGTTAAAGCAGTCTTCGTAACCTCATGGATTTTGTCAAGATTTTATTTTGCAGTAAAAGAGAACCGACATAGATTTAGTATGCATGTCCTTAACACATTTATATGGTATAATTAATTAGTATGTTTGTTATATATTCATCAATTAAAAAGTGTAATTAATGACATGTTATATAACTAGGCGTGTGCTAAAATTGTCAGGGGCCAGACTTATAGGTCTGTAAAAGGTTGACAGGTAATGCTGATAAAAACGGTATTCCGATTCACCAGCGGGATAATTAGACAGAATTAGCAAATGGTTCATGTCGACTTTTGAGCTAAAGTGATAAATTTAATTCACAAACAATGTAAATGCTACATATCTAATGACAATTACTTGTCTAAATGCCAGGTACAATGTATTTTTCCTGCCAAGTTTCAGACTTAATGTTGACATTATATATTGGAATTCTGCCAGTTTACGTAACATTAAAACTATTAATTCAAGTTAAGCCTGACGTCAGACATGCATGTTTATATGTTTCTGACAGACTTGATTAATACAGGTTAATCGGAATAAAAATAGATACATCATATCCTGACCCAGTTAGAGTACAATGTTTACATATTTGGTGCTCATCCAGGTTTACAAAAATAATCTAATAAGGAACAATTGCATACCGATGACTAACTGATATAAACACAAAAGGTATTTAATATTATAAGCAAATCTAGAGGATTCCTACATTGGTACTTTGAGTTATAAACATACAGAGGTTTTACCTGAAGATTTAATTTTGATGAATTTTGAAGAGTTTTAGAGTGATATAACAAACTCCTTGCAAGAATTCAAATGAGAAGATTTAAGGAGCTGACGTCACTAAGTTTTATAGTTACAATGTCATTTAAATGAGAAGATTTTGTTTATAATATAGTGTCATTAATGAGAAAATTTAAGGAGTTAATATATATTTATAATTATTGTCTGATGAAGTGTCATAGATGAGAGTATATAAAAAGCTGTTGTTGTATTTGTATAGTACTGTGTAACTAACGAGAGGTTTTATGAATACTTCTCTTATATGTTTATATAGTTGAGTGTAACATATAACCTGGGTCCAACAGTTCAATGATTCAGAACGGATTCAAGTCCAGTAATAAATTCAAAGATTGCCATTTTAGCTTAAATAACTTTTCTTCTTGTTAGATAAACATATCTAAATATTGAAGTTTTATTTTATTCCTTGTACTGAAAAACACATTCAGTACTACAGGTCTCTATGAGCAAACTAGTTAAATAGAGAAACAAGGGAACCTTTCCATTACTTGACCTGATTGATCATGTGTGTGTATGTAAAACAAGGGAACCTTTCCATTACTTGACCTGATTGATCATGTTATGTTTAATGGAAAGATGTTCCAACCTTACTAAGGAGGATGAAGACACCGTTTGCAGTTTAATCTGAATGGTAGATACTCAAACAGCTGTGCCCTGTATTTACCTCTGTGTATTATATTGAGGCTGGATGTATGCTAGCTTACTCCTGGCTTCATCAAAACATTTGCACACAGACAGCACAGGCTTTGTCGGCGTGTATTGATTTTTACCGATATTGATTTTTGTTGGGATCAATAGGTGCGGCTGTTCATGTGTTATTATTGTCTTTTCTGATGAAAGTAGGTGTGATGAAATCCTCTGTTCTGATTGGCTCATTCTAGTGGGCTTGGCCCAACATTCTTGGAACCATGCCAAAAAGCAAAAACTGTGTGTGTATTGGAATTGGGGCCACCCTGAAGGGGAGAAGAAGGAATATTTGTATTTCAAAATAATATTTTTTAGGTAACCAAGGAAGAAGGAAATTTTTTAGAAAGGAAGTATGATTAACATGCTAATTTTTACCTATACTGGGCTTATATCAATAAAGGATTACTCATCAACTTTTCTTTAAATTTTGTTTGCCATCTTGAAATTTAATATCTGTTAATTAAATTCCTTTCCACATGCAATCACTAATTTAAATACATCTTTTTCATCTTAATATTTTCAAATGAAATCAAATCTAGTTCAAAATTAAGTCCTATGAACTTTAGCGTGCCATGATAAACATGTTTTAGTACATTTGACTTTAGCGTACCATGATAAACATGTTTTAGTACATTTAAATTTGAAGTTATTAAAGTTTAAGAGCTGATGAAATCAATCAATCATACTTCCTATGATTCCATTGTGTTGTTGTAAATGAAATTTAAAAAATGATTATATATACTATTTTTTGACATGAGTATTTTAATGCACTTAAAGACAGTTAGTCATTCAATGTTGATAAAATTCAATTAAAGAAAATAAGAAGACTAACTACACTGTGTACGGTAAATGCTGTTAATTTAGTTACTGTGTTAGCTAGTGTTGATATATACATTGGTATTTACTGTGGATTTTCAGATTGACTAGGTTAAACTCTGATTGTGATATCCTTATAGTAAATCAGATGTAGTATTCTCTGTATAAGCAGTGGTGTTTATAGTCAGTGGGAGAAGAATTCAGGATTTAATCCATATACATAACACCTTTTTCTCTGTGATAGTAATATAATCATGTGTCCAGTATATGTGCTGTCTTACATGTAGATAACACCTGATTATTTGCTGACAGTATAAGTAGCTTGCCTGATGACTGTACATTTAACTGACATTAGACATGTAACTGGCTATTTTTTATTGATCTATTGTTTGGCTTTTACAAGTCTCCCATTCTTAACATTTCTGAGTTGTAGTAGCTATATAGGGGTCATATTCAGTGGGACAATACGAATAGGACAGTGTGGGCATGAATGGCCGGCCTAGGTAAATACTAACATCAATATTTACCTGGCAGACTCAGGTAAAGGATCCTGGCCTGGGTTACTCTCACTAAACCAAAACAGAGCGAAAACGTAACACAGGCAGGGCTCTCAGCATTTCTGGGGAAAATCTATCAACTGTACTAGACTATTGATCAGTGCCCCGTGTTTTACAAGTGGACGAGGATTATCAGGATATTAGTAAGCAGCCTGTTTGTCACGCTTCAGTTGTGTTGTTCATTCATAAGCGGATCCTTGTGAACTGTAGCAGTGTATAACGTTTGGACGTTGACATGTTTCCCGTCCACCAGGAAGCCCCAGACGGTCAGAAATGTGGAGAAAAGGACAGAAAAGATGAGAAATTCAAGCGAGAACGACGAGCTAGTCGAAAGTCAAAGGTATTTTTTCCAGTTCAGAGCCGACGCATACAATATTGTCGCTATTCACCGGCATTGTGAATGTGTTGTAAAGACCGCTAATGCATCTACGTCAATGTTGTAGATGCCGGAGACTTATCTTGTGAATATAGACATGTGAGGTTTTGTATGGGTTTTATGTATTTAACCTGCTGTTCTCACAGTATCCTGTCCTGTCATGTTGTATGTTTGTAATGGGCAGACGTTATGTTGTAGGATTTTAACAATAGGCAAGAATAGTGTAATTTATGTGGCTGTCCCATAAACCACTACCTCAATTTACATATCTGGCTCAACACTTACTCTCATGTTTTATATTAACTCTCACATGTTTTATATTAAATCTCTTTGAGCTAAATGATTAAAATGCAGATAGTTCTCTTTTGAATTCTTTATTGACAGTAGGAGGTATTTATCAGACTATATGTATAAACAATGATGCAATCTGTAGGATTTGTATCTCAGTCATGCCTATGGATGTTATCAGGGAGAGTGGTGATGTTGTAGTGTCCCCGAGGGCAGCTGGTCACCCTGACCTGTCAGGTTTTTGTTTTAGGGGATTGTCTCTGTTACATGTAATTATTTATCATGACAAAGGTAGGGTATCCTGGTTTGTCATTGAGGTTTGGCTCTCCATGGCTAATATCATTTGTCATACTGATGATAGTCACATTTGATTGATTCAAAACATTGATTTAAAGTTTTACTTGAAATGTACACACTAGATATTATTTAGATTAAAAGTTGCTATGACTATAATGTTTTGATTCGTCTTCCTAAATGAATATATTGACCAAAACATTTGGGAACCTGGGTTAGACATTTTAGACATTTATAATGGTTTATTGTACTCACCTGGGGCTTTAAACAGTAGGATTTTAATATAAATGTTTATAAGGCACTATAAAGGAGTTGGTCATGAATTTCAATATCTTATTCACCTTTAGTCAAACAGGGGTTGAACTCAGGGCCTTTACATCAATCATACACTAAAACAGTGTTAATGTTTGGAAATTATATATACCCAGCATCAAAACAGTAACTCAAAGCCTACAATGGTTGAATTAACATTCAGAGATGAATATAACTTAGGAAAGTCACTCTTAGCCAGAAAATCTCCTGTTGGTT